AAAAAAATTTTTTTTTTAAAAGAAGGGGGGGGGGGGGATTAATACTTTTATTTAGCAGTGACATATTGAACTAATCAAGTGTTTGTTTTTTTTACTTGCTCTTCATCACAGAATGCTGAAAAAAATGAAAAAAGAATGGTTTCTGAAGGATCATGTGACACTGAAGACTGGAATAATAGCTTTTGAAAATGTAGCTTTGTCATCACTTTTTAAATGAGAAAACTTACATTTTACAATAAATTAAAATATAAAATAGTAATTTTAAAATAGTAATTTTTGATCAAATAAATGCAGTCTTAGTGAGCATACTAGTCCCAATCCTTTGAATGGTAGTTCATATACTAATGTACTTTTTGTTTTGATCAATCATTTCCTCCAGAATTTTGGCTCTAGCTGTCACTCTACTGCCTCACAAACATTGCAAGATTGCCAGAAATGATTTTGTAACGTGTTGACAGGAAGTGTGGCATTTCACAAAGTGCCACAAAGAAATCTGCTTGTTTTGAAATGATTAGAAATGTAATTTCTTTGACAATCTGTTTTTATTGACTAAGACATTTGAGTGCAGAAAAAGGCTTTAGTTCTCTTTCTTCTTCAGCGATGAAACCATTACTGTCCAAGAGCTTGCTCACTGTCAGTTGATAAATAACATTTTACTTTCTTCTGCCTTTCAGTGGCACTATTATTACAGGGTGGTTGCTGCATTTATGATATAACCTTTCTTTCTAGTGTTCAGTGCTAAGCTAGATGAGCTAAACACTCACAACTTATTTGTGCAGCTCGAGCTAAATATGAGTAATGTGAGAGCTGCCTGACTTGATCTTTATTACTGTTTGCACTTTTTATTTTGTTAAAGACTTCTCTCTTCCTGTAACTTTGTCGGTTAGTTCATTCAGTCACTGACATGATCTCTATAAACATTTACACAGTGAGCTGAAAATGCACGATAAATCCCATTTAGATAGGCCCATATTTAACTGTGTATGGTGGACTGATGGTGGTTGCTGTATGCCTTTACATTGGGCACTTTATCAACATAGATGAGAATCATTTTATGATGCCCTTAGCAGTTGTCATCAACATTGTTTTGAATAGCTCTGATTGAAATGTTTCCCCATCAATTCTCAGGCCGTTTTAAAGTATGTAGTTAACAATAATGTCTTCTTTTGAAACATTTGGCCCCAAGCCTCCACTTTAGAGTCACATACCTTTTAGAAGGCAGAGAGAAGCTTCTTGATTATTTAACGGTTTTCTTACGAGGACCTAAGACCCAACATGCCCCTCAGGAGAGAGAGTATAGTGTGCTTTAACTGCATTAAGTGCTTGGCTTCACTGTGAAGAAGGGGTTTTTTTTTTCAGGAAGGAATGGCATTCAGGTAGCTGCCGCATTTTGCAGAAAAGGTCATTAGGTCAGATTCTGCATTCATGCGCAGGTCATTACTTTAGATCTATTTTGTATATTCAGATGTTAACACTTATGCATTGAGATGGTCGGCTTTTTAAACTTATTGTGGGGTTGTTTATGGCAGTAAATAATATTTGGTTACAAGAGCCTAAACTCATTCTAGTTCACCATTTTTATGTTTTATGTCACCTTTTTTGTACTTTTTATTTTTGTTTATTGCATTAGACAGGAAATGTTTTGGTATATGTGGAGGGAAGACATGCTAACTGCTGCACCAAACCTCTGAAAACACAAATTTCTTGTTGTTATTTTGTTTTTAAGTCATGGTTAAGGTGTTCCTGTTCCTGTGTTGTTTGTTTGAAGAGTACAATACTATATTGAATTTATGAATGGGAATGCAGATCGGTTGTACTTCCTGAACAGTAACAATTTATGCCCAATTTTCTCTTTAACTCTTTAAAATCTTTGGTGTTTTGTTTTGAAACATTCTGAATTGTTCCTAGTTGTCAGTTTTATTTGGTGAAGCCTCTCAGAATCTTGTAGTAGTCTGGCTGTTGCTGTAACATGCAGATTTGGCCTCAGGTATAAGCAGCAACTGTTGACTGGTGTCCTTGGGGCTGAAGGTTCATTCTTTACAGTTATATTCATTTAAACAGTTAAAATCACAGACAAGCCAAAAAATTCACCTACATAAGGCAAGATATTTAATCAGAATATCTACTTGAGGCTAGGGATGTGCGGGTCTAGTTGACTAGTCGACTAAACGGTACAGCTCCTACTAGTCGACACTGAAAACAATAGTCGATTACACGACAGAAAAAAAAAAAACATAATTATCATTCAAATTACTACGGAAGTTCTAAGCGGCCATGCATTATTTTTTTTTCCCCTTCTTGTTTTCTCGTTATAACGACTTATTTTCTCGTTATATCGACATAACGAGAGTTGTTTTCTCGTTATAACGACTTAATTTTCTCGTTATATCGACATAACGAGAGTTGTTTTCTCGTTATAACGACTTAATTTTCTCGTTATATCGACATAACGAGAGTTGTTTTCTCATTATAACGACTTATTTTTCTCGTTATATCGACATACACATGAACGCTCTTTTCAAACAGAAGCTTGTAACGCACATGATATCAGTCACAGCATATAATGACTACTAAAAATTACAAATTAAATATAATTTTCTTTCAAATAAAAGGAAAATTGAAACTCTCGTTATGTCGATATAACGAGAAAATAAGTCGTTATAACGAGAAAACAAGAAGGAAAAAAATAATAATGCATGGCCGCTTAGAACTTCCGTAAATTACCATCATTTTATGTTAACATTAAAATACCATTGTTACATTTAAAACATCTTAAATAACAATTTAAAATAAAACATTTGAAAAATAATACATTATTTTAAAAAGTGTATCTGGGCGTAAACTACATTTTTACCTCAGACCTCGCTTGAGTTTTCTTCGTGTCAGTTGTGGCGAGCTCAAAAGTGACCACGCGAAAAACG